CAATATACGTCACCAATATGTAACCGTTCTTATTCTTTTGGACCCTTGAACAGTGTGTTTTCTCACCAGTCTCACTTAGAGCAACACACCCAGGACACAGGTCAATCCTGGATGCACTCTTTTCTCACGCGCACCACCCTGAAATTCAGGGACTTGTTATCAATCAAATACACTTCCTTTCACTTCTTATCAATTCTCGATACAAAATCGAGGGGTGATCACTAGCAAAGCTCCTCAATCGCAGTCGTTTATATGAAATGCGGGTACTTACTTGCGCGAATATCTTTCAACAGGAATATGGAATAGTCAGGATCAACCCAAGCCGCACGATCGATCTCGGGCCCGTGCTAACTGGAACTTGAAACTTGTTGAGAATCCACACAACGTACTCGTGTGTCGATGTGGCCTTAGTGGTCCTCAGCTCGGGCTCCTCAGCGCGTTCAGTAAGGCCGCTTATCCTCACTTAACTCTTCCATGGCAAATTGAACTCTATTTAAGTCTTAACATCTTAGGATCTTCTGCCTTCTTACGGCCTTCTTCTCGGTTCCCTTCTACACCCATCAATGATGACGGTGCTTTCACATCCGGATTTCTTGACTTCCGTATGGGGAGGATAGACACATCACATGTTGATGATTCCCAGAACCTTGCGTGTCTGTTGATGTCACTACGTCGTGGCGAACTAATCTATGCAAACCTTGATCCTGGGTGTTAACATTCCAGGGCGACTTCAACCTGGATGACCAGCACACCTGGAATCTTGTAAATACTCCACACACCAGGGCAACTTCATCCTGGCTGGTCATCATAACTGGAATCTTGTGAACGATCCACACATTATACTCAACCATGTTCGTGCTTAGTCGTCCAGGATGAACCCTCGTAAATCCTGGTAGTCCTTCGGCATAAATCACTTGGCAACACCGCTGAAACGTTTGCTGACACACTTGTAGTTGAAAATGATATTTGCACCACCAAGGCGGCTCAAGTCAGGACCGGTGGCTATCCAAGATACGTTCTTCAGGGCGCTCTTCTACATTCCTGGTACACCTGTCGTCAGGGTATCGACGACTCGAACTGAGATGTTAACTTTATCCTGGATGTTTCCAAATCATGGGTGGTCATTCACCCTGGGTGACTCCTCATCCTGGATGACCACTTCCGAATCTATAGTCCCTTCCTTGAACACACACCTGCTAGCTCCATTTCCATCCAGAATGATCTTTCTCCATGTCTCATGCAGACGCCAGTTTTGAACGCATTGCTCTCGACCAATCCGCGCGCTACTTCACTCCCTCATTAATCAATCTCTCAAAACTGCAATCCACATAGCCACACGTCTTAAAGACTTGCAATGCCTTCAGGATAGCAATTACCTCCTTCTCACCGGAGCTCGGCGTCGTTCAGAACGCGTCCTGTATACCGAACAGGTTGTATCTTTCCGTCGTATTCTTGCCCTATGACTGCACACGCAGCCCATCGGTTCGCGTGCGGGAATGTCACAAATGGCGTTTGGATGTCCGGATGTCTTAACATTGGTGTCGCAACGATCTTCCGTTTTAGCAGTTCGAAAGATTCATGAGCTCGTAAGAGGTCTCGTCCCTGACGTATCTGGTCTTCTGAAAGTTCATAAAGAACTACTGCCACTACCGGAAAGTCCTCGATGGACTTGTGGTTGTAGTTTAGACTTCCGAGAAACGGTAATACACCTTTGTGGGATTTGGGAAACGGTAGATCCATAACACCCTTCGCAACTTTTGGGGTCGATCGGATACCTTCTGCACTAATTTCATGTGACCGATAGGGGATCGACCGCTTACCAAACGCGCTCTTTGGTAAACTCACTGATACATTCCAGAAACGTAAGCGATAAAACAGGGTGTCCAAATCCTCACAAAGTTGATCCCATGTTTTAGGCAATGTAAGAACTGCGTCCCAGCACTGGGCCAATGTGTGAAGGTATGGGAATATTCCTTTGGAAAACGGTCATGTAGTCTGTGAGTCCCTTCACCTCGTCTTTTGGACAGCCACGTTCGGATTATTGGTTATCTATAGGGTCCAATCCTAGAAAGTCCACAACATCTTGCTCGACTTCTCCTTCTTCTTCCGGAGGCAATCTCACAAATCCCTGCAGGAAATTATTGATTACCGACTGGTATATCAGCGGCGAATGCTGGAGTCCGAACGGCATGCGAGTCCATTGGAAGTGTCCAAATGGACAGCCAAACGCCGATATCAGCTTTACTCTTTCAGACATCTTAACTGCCCAAAAGCCACTCGCCATAACTAAACTCATAAACTACATGACATCTTCAAATCCAACCAGCAGATCGTATATCAACGGTAGAGGATAATTCGACAACGTAATGAATCCGTTGACAACTCGATAGTCGACACACATTCGGATATGTCTTGAGGACAGTCACAATGTGTGAGGGCCATGCTGAATCCGAATGCTCGATGAGTCGGGCTTCCAAAGGCTTCTCCAGCAATTCATACACTTTGGCTGATAAATGTGGCGCAACCGATCGGGGAGGTGAGCGACGGGGTTCGCCTCTCCAACATTCCAATCACAGGTCACACCTCGCGCTGGGGTTGGAACCGCATTCCCCTCTCCCAAAAAGAAGGCTCGATGGTACTTCGGGATCGTTCCCAATTTTCGCTCGTCTTCCGGAGTACTCGCCCCCGGTTTATTAACGTCGGCTGAATCAATATCGCATTTCGGAGATAGTTCTTCGCCATCCGGAAGTAACGCGAGTTGTTCTCGGACTTGCGATAACGTTTCACTCCCTTCAAGAATACAAACTGCGGGCTCGAGATCCAGTTATTCAGCACTTATTCGCATGACACTTCGTATTCTAGCTCAAGCTGTTGAACTGGCGTGCAAGCCATCACCGACATCGGTAGGTCCAAAAATACATAATCTTCCGGCTCCACTCTTGGAACGTCTTCTAAGACGACTTCTGGAAAACCATCGTGGACACTATTCGAGTCGGAGAACTCATCTTCGTCCGAGTCCTGGTCTCCCAACCCTTCTTCAGGATTACCTACTGGGACATCCGGTGCTTCATCTTCAGCTTCCGAAATCTCATATTATCATAGCCTTTCCCGGCGTCCTCCTTGACAATCCTTTTTCTACATCGGATGTCTCATCCGACAATTCTGACAATTTGCTCAGGCCTATCTGAATATTGATTACTCTCGCTTCCTCGCAACCAGGTGATGGTCGAATAATCATCTTAGTCGGCCACGGGTAGTACAGCGTTTGGACGACCGGTGGATCCATCTTCTGAAGGTCATCTAGCGTTGTGACTCCCGAGCCTGGGCTTTGGTGGATTTAGTGTTCTCGTAAATGAGAGTCTGGCATTCCTGATATCTTCGAGTGCTAACACGCACATAACGTCCCGCTCTCGGAACGAACACATTCTCGACAACTTGAGCAACTTCGGTTCTCCAGTCGATAGTGACAGTGCTGTTGGAAATATTGACCACCTTAATCGCAGCAGGAATCTTCCAAGCTTACAACACCTGAGTCACCCAACGATATCCTCGTCCAGCCCAGACAGTCGACGGCCGCATTAACTTTCAGACAGCGGGCAGTCGGATTGACCGATATTATCAGGGTTGAAGATACATAGTATACTTTGGACGGATCCCATGAGTCATACCATGCTTGACACGAGACAATCCTCTTCCTGAAAGCAACACCGTCTCTTCATCCGGAAGTTGTACTAATTCTTCCTTCACACACAACCGTACTCCCGCCTAGAACATAAAATTCATTCCGAGCAAAACATCCAAACCTTCTACAACGTTTGCGACCCAAACATCAACAACATACACGATTCTTCATCCCAAAGTGATTTTAACCTAGGCACTTGCTGTAATGTTGGCCGGTACACCTCTGAGTCCGGATACTGAAATATGTTTGCGAAAGTTGAGCTTGAATTTTAGCCTACGCGCAAGGCCCAATTCACCATGCTCACTGACGCTCCAAAATCCAGAAGTATATCCGTCCGGAAGTTCACTGCTCTATGCACCAATGCATTTTTCCGGTTCTCTTCTTGCTCGTGATCGTGCCACCACTCATAACGTTCACCTCGTTTTAGGCAAAATTATGGACGCATTGTGAATCCCGAGTCATCAGAAAGTTTGCTCTGAGAATCATCCGAAAGCGAACATTTCACAAGAAGGTCTTCATCATATACATTCATGGATTGTTGAATATCTTGATCTTGCCGTTTCAACTCTGGTTCAACATAAGCTAACACACATACTTTTGGAGGTGTCTTGAGCCCATCGCGTACTGGATCCCCATCCAGCGGCCTTAGTGCTTTAACTGTTTCGTCCCAGAATCAGCATGCCCATCCAAAAGTTGATTGATAAGGTGGTCAGGGATATCGTTCCGGTTTCCTTGCTTGGCGAGATTCTTGAGTGTTTGCAGGGTCTTCAGTCCATAGCACTCGCCGTCATGAAATTTGTAACAGAACGGGCAAGGATCAACCTTGCAATACTTAGCAGAATGTTCTTTCTTGTGACATCGGTTGCATTCCGTATCCGCCCAGCATAATTCCGTGGAGTGCGATCATTCGCCACAGTTATCGCAATGACGAGTCTGTTGCGGTTTTCCGAAATCTGTTTTGGCGGCGATCTGTACTCGGAGTTTGGGGGCCTCCATCTGAAGTTCTCCAAAAATTCAGTAGACTTCTGAGATGACATCTTGTCTCCGGAGCATCATGTTTCCATCAGGAGCATATCTCCAGACAACCCATCGACGTCCCTGTCGGAAACGGATTCTCCAAATGACACTTTCTGAAGCGTGCATTCAATGCCTTGATCAAACAGGGCTTGTTGTTCATCGTCCCTCGCAAAGACTTCGTCTTCATTCACATTGTACGCCCGGTTGTTGGTCTTCTGTCGTTGCCAATTTCCAAATGTACTGTCAGACATCTGGTCATGGTCTTTCAAAGGTCGCGCTTCTCGATCGCCACTCCACCAGATTTCTTCATGCTGTTTCAAGATATGTTCCAAGTCCTTCAGACGGCGGGTACACTGGCCTTGCAATGTTGATCTCAGTCGAGTGTCCTTGAACTTCTTGATGAACACTTTCAGATGTCGGTCGCGTGCGATGTCTGTAAACTTGATGTCAATGTCCGTTTTGTCAGCAATATTGTTCAATCTGTAGTAGAACTCTCGAGGGATCTCGCTTTTCCTTTGGAAAGTCGTGTAGTAGTACTCAGAATCTGGAGTCTTCGCCTTGCAGTATTCCTCACGGAACGCTGTCACGAAATGCTTCCAACTTCGGCGCACAGATTCATCCCAATCCCTCGCCAATCTTGAACCGCCGACGATAGCTTCAGCTTGCAGCAGTAAACTTTCGCATGGTCGGACCACCTTCCCATCACCACGAAACTTGAACCTTTGGCACCTCCACTAGTCGCGTCCGAAGATGGATAGGACTGAAACGTGGACCCAGATGAAATCGAAGATATATTCGGTCGCTATGGTTGGTGCTGCGGTCGATTGGGTTCCGGTTCTCCAACGGAAGATTGTGGACTTCGTGATCGTCGGAGTCCGGACGCCGTAGCCTGTCTCGCGAATGCATGTCCCAACAATTGAACTTCCTGAGTCGTCATGACAGCGTCTCCATCCTGATCTTCTGGATAGTCCTCCACCATCACGGCGATTTTGGAAGTCTGACTGTCGGGGACTGTCATCAGCACATCTACTTCCTTAGCCGACAAGAATCTTCTAGTCGCTTCTGAGATCCGTTGTCTCCACTCCAGAAGTTTGACACTCAGAAGTCACTGCAGGTCATCGCACATCAATTGGATCAACTCCGAATGAACTTTCGAAATCCGAGGGTCCGACCAAACTGGGATCACGTTCTGGAAATCGAAGCCAGATTCAGCGAGAAGCGTTTGGATGATCGCCACACATTCCGTTGGCGAGGGTCTCTCGACCGGAATCATGAGACCGGTCAAGTCCAGTGCCAGCCCAAAAGCGTTGCGGCGAACTCGCAGCTCAGAAATCCAAGCAATAGCCTGCGATGCCACCGACATCCGTTGCTCCAAATACCTCGACGTTTGGAGGGTCGCCAAATAGTAGGCTTGCGAGTCGGGTTTTCCAAACGCCCAGTCGTACCGAATTCCTGGTGGGGCTATCCGACCTACAGGAGCCTCTTTCCACCGTCGACATTGCGAAACGACATAGGACTTGGCTTGATCCTCGGTTACCTGAACGGCAGATAAAATGTCGTCTTCTACTTGGGCCGGTGTCATATCCTGATCGCTAGCATCAACAGCGACATGACTTCTGGAAGTCTGACTTTCAGAAGTCGTATGGGCCAGTTGGGCTTCGGGGAGCGGGGTCTCCGTGAGAGTCGGGGACACCTCCATATCTTCAGAAGCGGTCTCTTCTTGAACGTTCGACAGAGGTCGTTCGACCTTCACGCCGACCTTCTCTTCGACAATCTCCGCTTCCTTCGGATGCTGAGGAGAGTCCGAAACTCGATCCTCAGCTGAAGATTCCGTCTTCACCATGACTTCCACCACGGACTCGTCGTCCGACTCTTCAATCTCCGGTTGCTCAGGTCCAGAGTCCTCACTTCGGTCAGAACTTTCGGACGACTCCGCTTGGGAGCCGTCTTTCAGATCCGACTTTCGAGAGTCCACTTCAGAAGCTTCCGCAGAACCATCCTCGGCAGCAGCTGACGCGAGGCGGGTGACGCCTAAATCGCTCAAGTGTATAGCACAACGTGTATAGCACAATGCACAGACAATTCCAAACTACGTTGGCCAACAACCAGAAAAGGTGTTTGGGGATCAGAACTCTCCAAAGGTGTGATTCAGATAGACGACTGAACACACTATTGGGGAGCTGACGTGTGACCTTGCGGAATCCCTATCGATACGTTTGACTTTGGTACCTTGGTACTAAGTGATCCACCGAGTTGATAAAAGCTGACCTTTGGATAACCAAATACAGCAGGGAACTGGCACAAACGTTACTTCTAAACGATGTGTCAGTGACTATGAAGAAGATCTTCCCAGAGAGATAATACAACAATATAGATAATTATACAAATATACAGATACGTAACCCTTACTTATTCTTTTGGACTGTGTAAGGGTCGGTCACTCACCAGTCTCACTTGGATTCCAGAAATAGATACTGGCCAGCCTCCACCGGTCCTTCTCTCTCAAACAATACGCGCACCACTTCCCACAAAGTAGTATATAACCACTTCTGGAAAGACAAATACACTTCACCACCAAATATCCACAAATGTCTATCCAGATAACCACTTACAACAAAGTAGCTTCCGGATGGACCTAACCTTCCACACAGTAATCTAATCAATCGAGTCAGGGGTGATTACTATAACCTCAGATAAGCAGCGAATATGAAATGGAAGTCTATCCAGACGACCAACTAGAATATGAGATCAACAGATCAACTCGAGCGCGCATCGCCCGATCACTAACCGAAATGTGCTTGATAACTTACTCGAAGACGATGTGCCGATCTTCCTCTCTGTCGATACGCCTACACACAAGACTCTACTTAGGGTCACTCAGGTACGCTGCCCGAACGTCGACTCCTTGCTTCTCCGCTAACACACGACTACCGCCCATAAACATAGACGGCCTCAAGGTGCTTGTGCTTTAGGTGGCAAAACGAATTATCTGTTAAAATATAAGTATCTCTGTCAATCGCTACTGGTAGTCGTAGCACATGCAAAATAAACTTAGTCACAGTATAGGTCGACGATCGCAATCGTCCAACAGTTTCGAATCTTCTAGTACATAACATATCCGATCCGTCGTACTGGCCGGTCGTTAA